ACAGCATGTGCATCAAAATAAACTATTTCCAGCAGTGCAATATGAGTCCTCAGCATCCCAGAAACGACACAGAAAGTCATAAAGTCAAAGATAACTTTTAAAAACACCAGTATAGGCTCATGAGGCCCTGATGGTAAAAAACTACATTTCCGCAAAATGACGTCACTTCCGGTTTTGGCCAGGACATGGCGGACATGCGATGGTTCGCCATGTCCTGGCGGAAGTGTAGGAAGTGTTACAAACAGCTGATCGGATCGGCAAAGCGTGTTTCTGGAATATTATGTTTTTGTTGCTGCAAGTGCTTTTTATGCAGTTTTTGCAAAGCTATATGTGGAAGGAAACTGTGACTTAGGACAAGCTAATGGCATAAGATGCAAGTACAACTCCTCCGGTTTCATATGCAAACAATTTTATTGCGCTAGCTCACATGGTTGCAGTGCTACCGGGATTTAAAAATAGTTACGCAAAACGGAGCGTGCAGAACACCGGCTCCAACCGGCTTTAAAGGGTTAAATGTCTTTATTTATTTATTTCTTCCAGCTGTGGTTCTGACCTCCAGGTGCTCTTGGTAAACAGTCAGGGTCAAGTTCAGTAGCATAGCAAGCAGCAGCTAACTTAACATGGAAGAGTATGTTTATGATATTACTCCTGGAAAGCAAAGTTAATGAGCTCCATTTTCAAACACTACCACATGTAATGAGCACTAAACTGTAGCCCTGACAGATAAGGGAGGGAGCCAGAATGCTACTGAATCAGCTGCAGAGGTGGGTAGTAACGAGTTACATTTACTCTGTTACATTTACTTGAGTAAGTTTTTGAAAAAAATGTACTTTTAAAGTACCTTTTTTGCACAATACTTTTTACTTTTACTTAAATACATTTGTGAAGAAGAAACGCTACTTTTACTCCGCTACATTTGCAAAATTCGACTCGTTACTTTTTGAAAAAGTAATTCGTTTAACACATTAGATAACATGCTGCCAGTGGAGTTTCCGGTAACTTTTTACCAATCAGATGTGGCCATGCAGTCACATGACCAGTTTGAAACTGTGGCGGGCAGAGCGGCCCAAGCGTTTCAAAGTAGCGACACACGGAAAGAAGAAACATGAAAACATGGCAGAGCCAGTCGTCTACGCTAGAGCTGAAGAGGATGAACAGCCTTGGCCTCACATACAAAGGATGTTTCTCTTAAAAGCAGCACAAAAGAACAGCTCTGTCTTCAGTGCCGGTGTCTTCAGTGAGAACAAAACAACAACTTTTCAGCGTGAAACAACTCAGCTCGTGTAACCTGAGTAAGTTTTCTCTAAATATCTTTTAGCTGTGGTTAGCTGGATGTCAGTCTTATGTTACAGTAGCTGTGTCGAGCTGCGAGTCATGTTTTCGGCGCTACGTTGTAGTGAGATAAGTTTGTGAGTGTTTTGTGCAGCTTCGGCTGTCTTTTTAACTGCTCGCTGGTTAGCTAGTGTGAGCTGTAAGCTAACAGCTAACCTGGTTAATGACGCTAGAGTTCCACGCACATGCAAACAGCTCGTCTCTACTGCTTTAACTGTTAAAACAGAAGGCAATACTGCGGCTGACAGGGTTTATTATGTGAAACAGCAGCTTGTTTAGTTTAAACAGTCTGCATTAAGCTGGGCAAACACTGCGATTTTTTTCAGTCACGTTATTCAGCTCCTGCTCAAACTGTACAATTAAATCGCAGGGGTTAGAAGTTCATAGGTCACGATGCAGGTCTCACACTATACGGCCTGATGCTCTGATGCGACCTGTGCAAAGTTGTCTTTGCACAGTACAGCTGATTCAGCTGTACTGTGCAAAGACAACTTTCTGTGGTACAGATGTTACAGATAATGCACAGTGGTTACTCTTAAGAAAAAAAGGGGGCCATGCACCTGTAATCAACACAGATCACCGTCATCCGGAGGAACATCTGCAGACAGAAGGATGTGGCGTAATAACAGTCGCTGCATTTCGGATTAAACAAATGAAACTCAGACCTCAGATATGTGTGCTTTGGCCGTCTAGTTGACTTGAATGAACACGCTCTTTGTGTGCCGATTCCTTGACATTAATGCTTTTTGAGTGTGACATTCCTCATGGTCCAGCAAGCACCGGGACTAGGAACAGAAGAAAATTAGAAAGTAAACAAAGTAAGGAATGAAAGAGGCGGACAAAGAGGAGTATGAAAAGAATGTGGATGGATGGATAAAAATGTCAAATGAGAGAGGGCAAAAGGTAAAGGGGGGGGATCCCCAGATTTAAGGATACATTTATAGTATATATGGTAGCGGTGTCGGAAGGACAGCTAGACAGGTTTAGCTACCTGTAGTGAACAGGTGATTTCTTACTGGTTTAGAGTAAATTATATTTTCTTTAAGGTCATAATGGTCATTTTTCTGAGCATATTTGTGCTTCAGATAAAATGTTGTACTTTAAGAAAACACATATTTAGAAGCAAAAACTTGTGCGAGAACTCTTAAATATTTGATATTTATTGGGAATCTGCCAAAAAGTATGGGAACATGTACTTTCAAGTTATTTTAAATAGATAATGGCCGCTTTGACCTACTTTACTCAACCAAGTAGGTAAACAGGGGGGGCGGGGTGGAGGTCAAACGCAGGGTATACATTTTTCTGGCTGGATGAATCCACCAAATTACATTCCAGGACTGTCAGAAGTCTGTACACCGTCAGTTGTTGGTTTGTGAAGTAAATGACGAGGAGGTAACTAAGAAATCTCCCCATGGAGCCAAGAAGAGGCAGTTTCAGTTGACCCATCTCATTTGTCCCGTCCCCAGCAGCAAACCATTCTTACACCCAGATTTCTTTGGTGGGACCCCAGCGTTTACGGCTCTTGTCCAGATATAAATACAAGTCAGCTGGAAGACGCTCCGTTCAGGAGAGAAGCTACAGGATTCCAGAGTGATTGGTACCAGTGCTGCAGAAAGTTGACGTTTCCAGTAGTGAGTGGTGCAGCTCTATTGATCTGGTGCCAAAGAAAGATGCAGAGATTTTGTATTGAATTCAGATATTTAAATTCCATGTCTGACTTTGAGCCATGCTTCACGCCTGGAATCGATGATCTGTTAGGAAAAACATCCTGGACCTAAACACATCAGCACTCTGAACTAAAGGATATCGGCAGCTGGCCTCAGCACCAGAGGTAAGAGAACTCACAGCCTTCGAGGGTATGTACCCGTTTAGTTATATCATTGGCCTCCAGGGGGCGCCAGCCACATTTCAGTGACTGAATTGCTGAGCGATATGTCCGAATTTTCAGTAGAATATCTGGATGATGTGGTGGTGTACAGTTGGGACTGGGAAGAGTAAATAAATCCTACAACATAAAGCCTCTTGGGTTGGGCATCAGCCCTCGCCGCTGCACAGGTACCCATAGAGTACCTGAGCTTTGTTGTTAGTTAGGCAGGGTCAAGCTACAAGCTGGGAAGTCCTTTCCTGTTCCACTGAGAGGAAGAGTGAGCTGAAAGGCTTCATATGCCTGGTTGGGTGGTACAGAAAATGTACCCCCCATTTGCAGAGAGTTGAGTGACTTCACCAAGAATTTAGCCCCTAACAAGGTACTAAGGTAATGGAGAAATGCACAAGAGCATTCAGAGATCCAGGCTGTTCTCCACAGCATTCATCAAGCCATTCATCCTGCAGAGATGCGGTCCTCCTACAAAGAGGGAGGCCAGTGTTATTCCTCTGTTGAAAGATGTTGGGCAGAGAGGTGAGGTACTTGATGGTAGAAATGAGTGTTTGGCAATGAAGTGGCATTTGAATCCTTCAGATATCATCTCTGCTTTGATGCCACTTCCTCATGGAGACTGATCATCACGCCCCCCAGTGGCTGTCTCATGTGGTGGCTGACTGACTGACTAGAAAAACTGAGTAGTGAAATCTTTATCCCTGCTGTAGTGAGAGGAGGTAATGAAAATGTATTCCATTACTGCTTTGCTGCATTTTGTTTTAGGTAATAACATTTTCTGGGCACAGCTGCACTTTAGGAAAACGTTTGCACATTAAAAAGCACAAACCCAGACGTCAGAACACGCGTGGGCTTGTATGGTTATATGATCTTAAAGTAAATAATATATTTGTGGGTGATGATGGTGACAGTTTTAATAGCAGGCTATAACAGAAAAAATGTTACATGGCTTAACTGTCAAATTAAGTAAACTAAAATTAATTCAAATTTCATTTGTAAATTAAATGTTTGATAAATAAAAATAACTAAAGTTGGTTGGCACCAAGTCCTGCCTCTGCCTGGCATGATTGGTCACTCGGGTCCAATCAAACAGCTCAGCAGCTTTCTGTGGTGGGGACCCTTTTGCTGCGTAATTTGCAGTTTTCTGCACAGCGCAGCCCCTCGTTTAGAAACGAGCTTGTCGATGTGTTTGGCTGGTCTTTCTGTGGTGCCGCAGTGACTGTTGCTAACAGTCATCTAAAACAATGAAGAAATATTGCAGTAAATGGCGTTTTACGACAGCAAGAAATAAAAGCGAGACTGTATTATGAAACAATACATTTTTTTATATTGTCATCCGATATATTTCGGCATATCGCACAGCCCTAAGCAGGAGTGGAGCACAATACCTGAAATTTTGGAGTGGATTTACTTGACATGCTTTAAAAAAAAAAAAAAAAAAAAAAAAAAAAGGTAAAACTTCACAAAACGCTCACAATCCTATCTGCAGTGTTGTATCGGTGTGTTAGTCTCAGCCATCGTTTCTGTCTATATCAGATACCCTGAGACAGACCAGAAACGGATGCATGATAACAGATACACGGGATTCCAGGTCAGCTGTGTGCCACGATGACAAAAAGAGGAGGACACGTCCTGCATCCGATTAGCACAACGAGCACCGGTAATCAGCTATTTGTGCATTTAGGACTTTTTTTTGGCAATGCCATACTGTCTAGAGCTACAAACACATTTATAAAGATGCAAGACATAAATCTTACATCATATGCACGTAATGTAAAAAGAGGAATCTGACCTTCATCATATCTTTGTTTGGACACACTCCCTGGTAATGCACTGGGCACGCCCTCATAAAGGCCTTCACCCACAAAGTCTGTGTAGAAAAGCATAAAAGACATGACAGCCATCCAGCTGCAGAGCTGAGCCACGCACAGCTGCCTCATCACCCGTGGAACGTGGCAGTAGCTCCTGTAAATGGCCGGCGTCATGGACCAGCATGTCCTCAGTAAGCACATCAGGGGTCCAGACTTGAGGAGCCTCAGCTTGCACTTCAGCAGGTAGCAGCACGAGCGTGGCACGCCACACCGGCCGGCCTCCATCACACCGGTCCCCGGCTCCAGTAGAGATCCCGACTCTCCCGCACCGCTGTTGGCACAAGAGGGTTCCTCGGACACCTTCATGGTGATTAGCACACTGGAGATGAAGATGAGGATGAGGAGGGAAAAGAGGCACTCTGCTTGGCCTCCCAAGTAAACAGAGAGGAGGCCGTGACTCCAGTCCAGCGCAGGTAGCAAATAACCCACACAGCCTCCCAAGCTCACCATGAAGGAGAACATGGCAAAGGCTTGGCTGCAGTCCTCCTCATCCCGATACAAATCTGACAGAAGAGCCTCCAGCGGTGTGAAGCAAACTTGTCCACAGAAGTCAAGGAGCCCAACACCAAGGATCAGGAAGCCCACCTGGAACACGGAGGAAACGCAAGGTTATATGGAGGACACAGTCTTCAAACGAATAAACTCTCGGGAAGAATTTACCCTTTGTCTGAAAAACTCAAATTCAAACAAACATTTCACACACCTGGAGCGTGCGGCCACCCCATGCAACGCGGGCTGCCAGGACGTCAGCGTGGGGAATAATGAAAAGCGCCAGAAGGACTCCCATCGACAACAGCCAGATGAAAGGCCGCCTCCTGCCGTAACTGCTGTTGCACTGGTCACTGGCTGAGCCGATCAGGGGGATGAACAACAAGCCAAGCACTGGCCCGATGCCTGCAGGTACAACCAGGCAAACACAGAAGTCAGAGATCATACTAACAAACCATAAGATGCAAAGACAAAGCATAAAGAAACACAGACAATGTTGGGGAAAACATGTATTCACAGATGTTGATGTGGCGGAAAAATCAAAACCAATCCCTATCAACTCAAACATGTCTTTGCCACAAACACCAGTATGGTTAAAAGATACTAGAACTGGTCGAATGGAGCCAGATTTTTACTGGTTGCCTTAGATTCTTTGTTATCGACCTCAGGGGTGAACTGCATGCGTCTCTGCCATCATTAATGACTGCTGAGGTGACGGTTCCTACAGATGGCTCGCTGCCTGAAGGTAGCAGTCATCCTTCACACGTGGCTGGGTCTGGCTAATTAGAACACACCATGAGACGCTGGTCCACACAAGATCTAATGTGATGAGATCTCAGGGCTAGATTTTGACATTTAAGAAGGTGCCCCGTGAAGTACTCTTACATCATTTCTCATCAAAAGGAATTCGTGCGTGCCCAGTGGCCACGCTGTCCTTCATTTAGGTGTTTACAGAACGCACGAAAAATAAAAATACACAGAAGCCTGTTAATCATGAACGCTGTTCTGCAGCACCTCTAACGTGACACGTGTGTGTTAGAGTCCGGCGTAAAAGTAAAGCAGCAAATATGGGGAAGAAACTTAAGGTCAGAAAGACCCGAAAAGATCAATTCTACCACCAAAGAAACAGGTCATCGCTCTCGTTCCTCCAAACTGATCCAGCTTAACCGCAAGTTCCAGTTTCTGCAGAAAGTCTGAGCTCTGGTGGATTTGTGCCCTGCACCTGGAGGGTGGTTGCAAATAGCGTCTAAGTTTACGCTCGTTTCAAGTCTGATTATCGGTGTTGACTTGGTCCCCATTAAGCCCATCCCCAACGTAAAGGCCATCGCCCACTGAGAAATGCAGACAGGCTCTCAGAAAGGAGCCTCAGACTTGGAAAGTGGATGTTAAACGACAGAGCCCCAAACGTGGGAACACTTTTCCCAAGTTCGCCTGACTCTAATGGCTCTGAAGTCGCCCTGTGAGTTTCTTACCAACGGTGGCACCTTTGTCTCCAAAGAGACTAACGTTCAAAAAGTAGTAAATGGCCTGCATTTGTATAGCGCTTTTCTAGTCCATAGGACCCCAAAGCGCTTTACACTACATTCACCCATTCACACACACTGGTGATAGCAAGCTACATTGTAGCCACAGCTGCCCTGGGGCGCACTGACAGAGGCGAGGCTGCCGGACACTGGCGCCACCGGGCCCTCTGACCACCACCAGTAGACAAACACGGGGTTAGTATCTTGCCCAAGGATATTTGGCATGCAGCCAGGATGCAGCCTGGGATCGAACCACCGACCTTCTGATTAGTGGCTGACCTGCTCTGCCACCTGAGCTACAGCCACCCAACATGGACACACAAGCAAGATCAATTTGCACTCTTTCTGCAGTTTGACAAGAAAGTGAAACATGAAGAGAATTCTTAAAAGCATGAACTGAAAGGAGCCACTTAAACTGGGAAATGGAGACAGGTAGAACAAATACGCTGCTGCCAGCGAGTCTACCCTCGATCACATTTCTCCCTCTGCAGCTGTGGAGGCCCCTCAAAACAATCCTTATCATCTACAGCTGGAAGTGTCACTGCATCACACATTCCCCACTCACTCTTACCTCTCCTAAACACAATGCAAACTCCAGTTTAGAAACACGCATGTGTGCTATGAAAAATAGCCAATACAATGAATAAAAAAGCGTCACATGTGCTCAACTAAACGTACTTACGATTAAATGCTAAAAAGCAGAACGCTCTCTGCCCCAGTAAGAGAAACTAGAGAAAGAAAGTAATTACTGTTGGATGAAGCAACCACAAATGGCTATTAGATACAGCAGACAGCAGCCATCGGAGAACTTGACACTGCTGCTTGGGGAAATTAGCTATAAGCCTCCCAAGACACGATATCCATCTTCATTCAAATAACATCCCAGCACTCCATTATAATACAAGCATATAGGAATTAGGTTGAAAGCCATTTCCAGATTGGCTTACAGTGCAGCGTGTTTGAGAGCAACGCTACAGTGAAATCATTTTTCTTCATATCACAAGCAGCTGTTAGAGAAGTGCAAGAGTAGGAGGGGATATTGTTTTATACAGCTGAATGGCCATTTCTGTTGTGCACTCTGAGCCTTTTGTTACGGTGGAATTATATCTATCATCAGTACAGTCACAAGGCAACGTCTCAAACAGACGCCTGCAGTGAGGACCACGGGAATGCCATTTGCACTTACAGGATAAAGCAACTATTCATATTAGCACACAGTACAAATGCTAACAGTCCAATCAGACAGGTAAAGTGAATAACAGTGATCGTCTCTTTTTCCTCAGTGGGGATGTTACTTTGTCACGTACGACCCACCGAAACGCTGTTGCAGACTAAAGGTCATGAACTCATTTTTAGTTCGTAGTCCACATGTCGAACAATTTCAACTAAAGTGGGCCTTCCCTGTAAGCGCAGTCACCGAACCGGCTCATTAATGCAAATATCCAAATAGCCAATGCCATGGCAGCAACTCATAGTATTTAGGCATATACAGATGGTCAACATGGTATGCAGGCAACCCGCTGATGTTCAAATCACCAAAACTGGACAACAGAAGATTGGGAAAATGTTGTATTGACTTCTGCCTGAATTTGGCGTCAACAACATTAAAGCACAGATACATGGAGCCTTGTATCAACAGTGCCGTTGGTGTAATGGTCTGAGTATTGCTGGTGACCCTGTCTACACCGACTACATCCTCTGATGGCTTCCAGCAGGATGAAGCAGCATCCCGCAAAGCTCAGACATCTCAAACTGGTTTCTTAAACACGACAACGAGTTCACTGCACTCCAATGGCCTCCACAGCCATCAGATGCCAATCCAATAGAGTATCCTTTGGGATGTAGTAACGCAGGGGATTTGGTCCATTTCAGCTTCACCACCTTTGGCTGAAGCTTCCAACGATTCAGGCTACGTCCACACTAATGCGTTTGCATTTGAAAACACATCGTTTTCTCTCCGTTTTGGCCTCCCGTCCACGCTGAGACGGCATTTTCGCTCAAGGAAAACGCAGCATTTTGAAAACGTATACATTTGAAAACGGTTGCAGTGTGGACAGCGAAAACAGAGACTATCGAAAACGATGACGCATGTTAGTCATGTGATGCAGTCATGTGACTAATTAAACAAAGATAGCGGAGGGCATTATACAGCAGTTGTTTTGTTTGAGTTTAATATCAGTCTGCACGTGCTCCAGAGAGCTTTTCTTCAAATTCTTTAATTCTCACTCGCTTTTGCAACTTTGTACTTTTGTGTTACTCGCAGCAACAACTCCACCTCATTGTGAGTCCATTTAACAAACTCGGTGCTTTTCCTCAACATTCTGCCGCGACGTTTCAAAGAGCCGGAAAGTAAATAAGCAGCAGACAGAAATGAGGCAGGTCGAATCTTCTTGTGTTTCACGCATGTGCAGGACTGGAACGTCAGCGTTTTCGGCCTTTTCAATGTGGACGCACAACTCTGAAAACGACTGAAAATGCTAGTGTGGAGCGTTTTCAGACATAAACACAGTTGTCAAATCTATCCGTGCTGGTGTGGACGCAGCCTCAGACCTGTGAATAAATGTATTCATTTGAAGAACTCCTCAAAGGGTAGTGCTAACGATCTCAGGGACTGATTACCAACCGGCTGCCAATCAAGGTGAACTTTTAGCTCGTGTTCCAAGAATAAGAGAATGCTTCAAATCAAATTATCGTTAATAATAGATCCACATTAAATGTAATTTGCCTCATTATAATTTAATAATAGCATCTTGACATTCACCCAACACAGCTGAAACACCTCTGCACCCTTTTGGAAAGAACGCGTTTGTGTGAAGAGCGGTTACATCCATTACCGTCATCATCATCAAAGGGGAAACACAAGCATGTCATCACTGTTTATTAGTTTGATTTCGAAATGAGTGTGAGCTGAAGAAACTGCGGGTTTGGAGAAATGGCCTTTTGTCTACCACTCTGCACTACTGAGCCGTCGCCATCACGCCTCACACCAGAAACGGTATCGGTTATAGGCAATAAGATCATCGAACCCTACACTCGTGACACAACCTATTAATTACTTTCAATGAAATCAGTCCCGGTGGGGAAATTCCTGCTCTCCATTTATACATTTTGCAGGTCCAGTGGGCATTTTGGAAACCTGTGGTGGGAAGGTCCTTACACACCGGCGTGAGCAAATAAGCCTCAAATACATACAGCACCAGAGGCAAAGCCAATTATGCTTTAGTGAATTGCAGTGTTCGTCAAGTTACTTGAAAAAAGTAATCAGTAACTAATTACTGATTACTTTTGAAAATAAGTAATCCCATTCCTTTACTGATTACTTATTTTCAAAAGTAAGTTAATTAGTTACTTTAAAAAAAAAAAAAAAAAAAAAAAAAAAAAACCCCACGATTTACAACCTGAATAGGTGATAAAGCGATAGATCTTTAAACCCAATTCTATTTTCTGCATAATCCATCATACAAAATGTAATCAAATGGAAAAAGCCTTTTTTTAAAACTTGATTTATTAGTTGTATCTTTTAACTTTATGCATCAAGCAAAGATTTAATTATCTGCAACTTTCTCTGACTGGAAGAAATTAGTTTAACATTTAAACCTATTTTCTGCACATTCCAGCACATAAAATAAAATATTTTTGTGTTTACACTCAGTCTTTCAAATAGATGCAAGTAAAACACAGCAGAAAATAAATAAAGTCAGCAGCCCTGTTGTTCTATTTTCACCTGTTTAGCAGGAGTGGGGCAGGCGGATGTTTGCCGTGGTGCAGGTGTGCCGCGGTCAGTGGAAGAATCTGGGAGTTTCTCATTCCCCTGGTAGCGCACTCGGTGCTTGTTTTCTTCCCACGCACAGCGGGCACTAATGTTTTTGTCACTTTTTACAGAATCAAACTCAAAGTAAGGTCAGTACTTCCACGCTTTAAACGCTGCACGCTCATACTCTCTCCTGCACTCCATATATGATCCATTGTTGATCTGCACACAGCTGTTGTCACGAACGTCGCACTCGCTTACGTCACTGTCGTGAGACATTCTCGCAAAAAAAATAAATAAATAAAAATCACGGTTTTAGTAACGCAGTGTGCTTACGGGAAAGTAACAGTAATCTAATTACCTTTTTTGCAATAGTAATCCCTTACTTTACTCGTTACTTGAAAAAAGTAATTGGATTACAGTAACGCATTACTTGTAACTCGTTACTGTATTTTCATGTAAGCAACAAAGTTGGGTTAATATGTTCACATTACAGTGGCTCCAAACACTGAATGAAGCAGCTCTGTGTGTCTGACGGTCTGGAGGACGTGGCTCTTCCTCCCACAGTTCTCCTCCCTGCTGCCTGATTGCCACACTGACAAAACAGGTGAGTTGACCACTTACCTCCATAAAGACCTCAATTATGTTTTTATGACCTAAATGGAAGATGGCTGCCCCGACGCGTACTCGCACTCCCATGCTACACCCCCCACTGTGACACACAAATTTAGCTGCCACTGGATCTTATATACAGTGCTTCTGCAAAAATTAATGCCGATAGCTTTACACTACAGCAAAACCTACGAAATTCACAGAAACCCTGCTTTTTGTCCTTTTGATCTTCCTGCAGATGCACAAAAATTATGTTTATTAGTTTGCAACGTATAAAGTGTCACAGAATCGCTGATCAGTGTTTCCTTACAGTATATCTGGGCCGAAACACCCAGGTACTATTATATAAATTATATACTATATATCATATTATTATTGGAGATAATGTGTCATTCAGAGTTAGTGGACTAGACCAGCGGTCCCCAACCCCCGGGCCACGGACCGGCACAGGTTCGTGAGTCGTTTGGTACCGGGCTGTGAAAGTTATGGTTTTCACGGTTTTTATCGCCGCTAATAAAGTTACACAATTACACAGTGAATTCGCCTTTATTATTATATTTACAAAATACCACAGTTTTTGTTTTGGTCGTATAATTTTATTTTTTATTATTTTTCCGCTGCACCTTAAAGGCCGGTCCATGGCGCTAAAACGGTTGGACCGCTGGACTCGAGCACAGTCTCCTATTCGGTCCTTGCCAACCAGCCAGGCCTAGCTCAAGGCAAAAACCAATGTTTTATACTGGTCTGGTCTTTGTGTTTGTTTGGGTTTTTTTGTCAAAGACACTCGGAAACAGGAAATGCTCATTATTAGTCACTCTGGTTCCCAGCTCTCGTGTCTAACGTATCAATTATACCATGAAACTATTATTTAAAATACATATCGTCATTGAACCAGCCATCGAGGAGATAGACAGGACACGCAGCTGAAACCTGCAGGGTGGGCGGTCCCACCTTTGCCTTTCATGTTTAACAGAAAGAGATGAAACGACGAGAGAGCATGAATACGTGTACGAGAGTGAGGCTTAAGTGCATGCAAACACCCACACCGCGAGGTGCCGAAAAGGCCTAGTAATTAGCTTACCTAGCACCATGGTCATGTACCGCTCTTCTACTCCAGCCTCCAGCAGCAGTGGAGGAACGTATGTGATCCCAGCTGCCACACAGATCTCCAGGCCACAGGTCAGGGAGTTCAGGAGAACAAGACGCCAATGAGACCTCCATCCAGGCATATTTACAGAGGCTGGGTCGCCTTTCCTTCCCTCTGGGATGGTCACTACTGGGGGCAGGGAAGGGGGGAAAGATCTGGATAGGGACAAAGGGGGGGATGAGGGGAAGCAGATGGTGCCCCGGTCGGACCTGAGGACTGTCGCAAAGGGACAGCAGCAAAGACACTTTGATGTCTCAGATGACCTGGAGGATTCATCCTCTTCTCAGCATTCTGGATCTGAAGAGCAAAAGAAAAGCTTTCAGTGCACAGTCACATCATGACCATCGTGCAGAAATTACCAGTTTGAAAGCTGAAATAAAACCTGAGCAAAACCGATTATTCACAGGATGACACCTGTAAAGCCACAGATGTCAGTGGCTTCAGGTTACACAGGGGATTATCAGCATCCTTGTAACAGAACACAACCTCAAACAGGTTGCATTATATGTTCCAAAGACACGGAAATGGCAGCAAAAGTCAAAAAGCAATGATGGATTCTCTGAGCTCTCCACCAACAGCTTCAGGGCAGCACGAACAACAACAGGGAAAGCAGATGAGTCAGCTGGAGCAACGTGGCAAACCATTTGCTATGCAAATTACTCTCTGTTTTCCTTGCTCGCTTTTTTCTGCCTCGTTTTAAAATATGCCAGAGATGTAGAAAAAAATTAACCATTAGCTTTCGGAAAAGTTGAATTTCTCTTTTCTTACTATCCCTCACCACGACACTTGACAGGAGCACCAGTATTAGCACCCACACCTCCCGGAGCCTACACTGTCATTATTGCATTATTGAGCTCTGATTGGAGCTTTAGTCACATATTCTGCAGATTATTGTTGAACTCAATGAGCAATAAAAGATCTTTGCTGGGCAGAAAGGATCAGGCAAGATGATCAGTCGAGTCACCTGTAACGTATACAACACGTCATCCCATCACCTAACATAACGACGACTGAGACAAATTGTCGGCACGTTACGCGTTCTGAGGCGTGAGACGGGTCAGAATGAACCTATACATGTGTTTTACATGTGACATGAAAATCAACCTAACAAATCGTCATGTATGTTAAATCTGTTCACGTCCTGATCCTGAATCACTTTGGAAAACACGATGTAGTAGCGTTAAGCTTACGCGAATGGACAGCTGGAGTCTCTGCTTGAGCGTGCCTTAGCGCCACGAGCGGCTTTCTGTTGGATTCAACTGACAACCCAGAGCGTTTCATAAGGACTTGGAATAGCACCTTTCGCATTAGCATGTGACGCCCAGGGGCGGGGCAAATCATCAGTATGTTACGCGTTGGGAATGATAATGCTCTGACTGTATATGGCAGGGGTGTCCAACTCCAGGCCTCGAGGGCCGGTGTCCTGCAGGTTTTAGATCTCACTCTGGGTCAACACACCTGAATCAGATGTTTAGTTCATTACCAGGCCTCTGGAGAACTTGAAGACATGTCAAGGAGCTAATTTACCCATTTGAATCAGCTGTGTTGGATCAAGGACGGGTCTAAAACCTGGAGGACACTGGCCATCGAGGCCTGGAGTTCCCCAACCCCGGTATATGGGCTCAGCATGCCAGACACTACTACAGGATCCAATGTGATGCCAGATAGAGGCAGACTGACAACACCGTCATCGACAGTTTGGTCAAGTTGGTGCTTTTAGGTTCAAAAGAACAACAACTGTATCCTTATTGATCACGTTGACAGACGACCCAAACACACATTGAAGCATACGTTCTCCAACATGTTTTTAAAAGTTGTTTAATTCTAGTCAAATCATAACAGCCTCGTGAAACTCTCACTTTCCCAATAAAACAGCATGTATTCACTCCATATACCTGAAAGTGCTCCAATCATTCACCCGAACATGCCGATAAGGCGACCAGTCTCTCAGTGTTTTGAACTGAGTCTGAAAACAAAAAGCAGAATCTTACATAAACTGAAATATCTGGAAACAGCAGAAGAGGCAGATTGATGAAAGTCCTCTAAATAGAAAACTGCCATCCATGAACATCCATGTGCAGATCGCACTGCTTCCTGGAGCAGAAAATAAACAAAAACACAACCAAGAGAAACACTGTCGTCATCATCCACCAATGAGACGGTGTGTTCTGTTAAAGCAGAGGGGCAGAGCACGAATGGTCAGAACAGCCACAACCACAAAAACAAGGCGCTATATTTGCATTTAGTGTGACATTTATCTGCCAATGCTGCCCATCTGTTCACTCCCAGCAAACAAAATGGATGTGATCATCTCAGACGAGACTCGGTTAAGCACAGATGGGTTCAGTCGGTATTTCAAGGACTTTCCACTTTGCTGGGTGGGAAAAAAACCCAAAAAACCTCTTTAAAAAACAAACAAACAACAAAACATACAGCATACACTATTATATATCGTACATATATTTATTAGTTTCAGGTTGGCCATTCTTGTATTTTGCTTGTTTGTGTTGTTGTATTTTGCACATCTCTGTTGCTTGTGGGGCTCGCACACAAGAATTTCACTCGCATGTGCTGTGCCAGTGTGCCTGCACATGTGATGTGACAATAAAAGTGATTTGATTTTGATTTGAAACAGCTGATAAAGACATAAAATAGTGGCCAAGCCATTTTCCCCACCAGTGGCTTTTGAATAGTATAAGGTGTTAGCTAAGAGGTCCATTTAAAATCTCTGATGCCTTTCACATCATTACAAATCAGGGACATTAACTGAATGCTATCAACACCACTGCAAGACTTCCTCAGGCATTCATACATTCCCATCTTTGTCATTATGACACTTTTGATATAGAGGCTCTCTGAGAATCTGAAGGACAATGCAACAGTGTTAGCAGGCCGGGCCGATCAGGCGCCCGGGTCACAGGGAGAGAGAGGTCCATTTCACACCCGTCAGATCTTATTCCCACCCAGCCTGGATGCACTGAAAGACACTCATCAGGGGATCAGCCTTTGCCCCTGGGCCTGTCTGGCCACTACAACCCCCTACCAACATTCTGTGTGTGTGTGTGTGTGTGTGTGTGTGTGTGAGGATTTCTTCCTCATCCTTCCTCTGAGGTCAGCTTTATCTTTGACCTGCATTCTAAGAGGAACCTTCTGACATCTTTATGGTTCTCGGTGTGAACGCCTTCCACCGCAGCCCCATCTGACTCTGTTAGACTGAAAAAGTGGCAAGAGTACAGAAATCTGATTTTCCCAAATGCGCGTCAGATTACAGTGTTTTGGAAATGAAACTGTGTCGAACTAAAGAAGGACTGCAAGACAGCAGTGCAGAGTGACATTCATTCATGCTCCTTAACCTCCTAGGACCTGCGTCCACCTATGTGGACATCCCATTTTGTGTTATTTAGACCAAAATACTTAATTTTGCTCTATAAGGGCCTGATATCCACTTACGAGGACATTATGCTGCTACTGTTCTATCGAAATTTTAAACGAATATCCTCATATGTGGCTCTCATTTTTCTTAGAAACAAAAATAAGGTAAAAAAATATATATATATATTATATATATATATGGTAATTCTTTTTTACATTCGTTAGGTCCCAATCTGCCCAAATATCAAAGAGAAATTAAAAATGCTGCTGTGGAAGAGTTCAGGTCTTAGGAGGTTAAAGTCAAATATAAAAAATAGGGTCAGTTTATTGTAAATTGTAGCTCTACAGCTAACAAAGCGTTTGTGGTGCCGTTTTAAAGCAGAACGGAGCTTTCAAGCTCTCAAGTCTGCATGTTAGGGAGAGGGGACAAAGGAGACACACACACACACACACACTCCACTGCTTACTTAATGACACCTGACTCTACAATGCATTGCAGTCATGACCTTCATCTTCACGTAGCCTCGGAGACACAAAGGCACGCTTAGGCTGTTAGACAAATGACTTTCCTGCTGCTCACCTGACAAATAACACAACCGGAGCCAGACAGGTGACGGTGAGGAGATGGAGGCTGGTTTACTGTTGTCAGCTCTCCTTTTGCTCCATTACCAATTCCTATTCAGCCTCGCCCCCTCCCAACTCACAAAAATCAGCCCTAATGACTCCGAGTGGTATTCTTAGAATACAAAACAGCCTTTGTATACATTGTGCCAGGGAGAGTAATTTAATAGAGGGCGGTATTAACTCCAGACTAAATGTTTTGATGCAGGATTCTTATAGACGGTAAGATACAGGAAGCATGTTTGGGTACGAGCGGAGGGTCTCGCAGCAGATATCAAGGTTTGTAAGAGAAGAGCGGAAGGAATTGTTTTGAGATGACATCACAGCCAAAAACACAGCGGAGGCCGTGGCTGCAGAAACAGCAGGAGGTTCTGGTTGGCTGCTTGGCTCACGCTGAATGGCTGCAGCACTATAGCCGCTCTGCCTCTCCGGTTCCTGGACATTAATGGACCCAATCGTCCGCACTGAGAGACAAGCAAGACCAGTCTTTATGCAGACCGCTTGTTTGGCCAGCAAACCTTTTTCTATGGCTCTCTCTGTAAAACAAGACAAAGTTAAGCTGGACCTTTACTTGGTCCTGGAAGCTGCTTAGAGAGGAGCACTGTAGAAAAGTAGCAGGTGAAAAGGAAACAAACAGGTTACACCTGGAAGGTCCTCGAGGTGGGCTCCCATCAGACATGGGATCTCTACAGAAACAAGTATCAAGAGGCCAAATTAGACCCAAATTATTGGATTACCATCCCCGTTTAGGAATTCAAAACGTGCACCAAGATGAGATCAAGTAAAAAAACCAACATACTTTTACTAAACAAATGCTTCAATCTCTTCTTTACACGTCAGTTCAGATGGTTTTGCTGCTTTGCACATTAACTGGCATTTGAGCTGCTTTGGCTTCCTGATTTGCGTGACTTCAACACTCAGCACGCGAAACCAAAGCCTTTCACAGGTCCGCTAGGGTCAGAGACACGTAAAGTTCGTGGCCACACAGTGAGTGCAAGGGTCGTGCGGACATCTGCGTGCCATTTATGGATTTGGTGACGTGCATGTATGAGCTTTATGTTACTACGAACCAGCTGCACATGCGTCACAGGTGAGTATGAGGGAGCGACCGCTCATTCAGTCCTCTCCAACCGTCCACGTCTGCATCTTCCCTCAGCATGTGCATAAGCATACATTATTAATTTGTCTCCAGGGGGTAAATGAGACTCTTCTTCATCCTGGCGTTGTTCCCGCTGGTGCAGGGTCCGCTCTTCGGCAAAGGTTTGGTTCTACATTTGGTTCTGTCCGAGGCGTCCTCAGGCGAT